GTGTGTGTGTGTGTGTGTGTGTGTGTGTAGTATAAGTGAGTAAATATTCTTTAGAGAATACAGCTTACGGCTTGTGTAATCTCACAAGTAAGACACCGGTGTTCAACTTAGCTACTTTCTACCCTCACAGCCTAGAACTCAGGGCCTATATCATTTTTGCTTTTATTTTGACCGCCACTCAAGCCGGAACTATTTGACAACTGTCTTGCTGTCACTATATAGTATGTCGACACTCCTTGAAAAGAAGAAGAAAGGAAAAATACTGTTTCGTGCAAGCTACGGAGGACAAGATAAGAAATTCCGTTCAGTTCTCAACAGCTGTAGGCTAAGTTGTATAGGCCTCGCCTTCGGTAACGTGTTACTGATAAGGTTACGGCAAACTAATCATGTTCGTGGTGCAAAATTTAATTCACCCATTGGAAATACACTGTACATTATTTCTAATGGGCACGATCGTTAACGCCTGATGAACTGTCTGGGTACAATGAAAGAAGTAGGGGAAGATGAAGAATTATAAATTGCCACTAGACCTATCTCAGAATGGTTTAAAAAAAAAAATATCTAGAAGATCTATAGATCTATGTGACTTAAACAACTGAAATCACTCAGACTCACGGTAATGACATCAACCGATATGACCTCACAATAAACAGGTATTTTGAACCAACTGGTGATGTGCTTTATTTTCAAAAACTTGGTCAGCGGCTGTGATGAACGAAGAGCTGAGGGCAGGACGTGCTTTGCAGTTGAACTCAGAAGACATGAATTCAAATTGTCTAATACGGAAGTTTTTAAAAACATTTTTTTCAAGTATCCCTTTCCATCTGTTGGGGCATTGTATCCCTCTCCTCAGCCCTTACAGGTAGAGTCGAAGCAGCCCGCGTCCTATGTGATCCAAATTGTGTCTACAGGAAGGAAAAAATCTACATATATATATATATATATGTATGTAAAATATAATATAAATATATTTTATATTATTATATATGTAGTCTAGATCTATATATTTTTTTGTAGTTTTTTTACACTTTAGAAAAAAGGTATCTTCTTTAACTTTAATTGATTGCCTGATCCCTGCCCTAAACCAACCGTTTGCCAAGAGATATTAATATATAATGGTTTGTAATCTAGTGACTGCTGTGACTGAGGAAGAGCGATACCTCGCTTGACAGTAACATTGCTGTTGGCCGCTTGGCTGTACTTGGATGTTCAGCAGTTTTCTTCCGTTTTTCCACGACTCCAGGTAACGTTATTCGTTTGATGATCGACCCACAAACACAGTCGAAGATACTATACATCTAACAGACGCGAATACGCTTGATAGAGACGTATTTATGAGCAAGAAGCCATGAATAAATTCTCACATAATTTACAGATCAAAGACTTTCTTTCACACAAGTAGAGTCACACAGAAAAGAATTTGGAAAATGCGTTGACATTACTCAACGAAATATAAAGATGAACACAGACACACACACAAACACACACACACACACACA